GGCTTCAAGACGCTCTGCAGAACCACCCGGATTAAATTTAACAATATACACCCAATAACAACTAACAATTCGTTTACCAGGAGGTAAAGGAACAAGATCCCAGTCCTATTATGATGTAAGACATCCATTTTCTCCTTTGTAGCTTTCCTCTGACCCGGATCAAACGCATCCTGTAAGTGTTTAGGGATAGAGATCGTAGATATTTGAAAAGTAAAACAAGAAAAGACAGGAGACAAGACATTATATGAAATAAAATGATCAATGAGATGGTTAGTAACAAACGAACAAGTACCTTTAGGTAAAGAGTCTAAATTACCTGATGGGCCAAGATCAGGAGACGACAATGAAGACGGTATGGGCATCTCAATCGATGGTTGAGGACGATGAGAATATACACGAAGTGGTGAAGTAGATGGAAGCACAGTAGGTAGCGGAATATCTAATGGTGAGGGAAGAGGTGGTTGTACAAGAGATGACCCAAAGTCCAGATCTAAAGACTAAACATGTGTCAGAAAATATGGAACAAATTTCTCAAATGTGACATCAGCACTAGTAAAGTATTGTCGAAGGGAAGGACTATAGCAACGATACCCCTTCTGCGTGCGGCAGTATCCAAGAAATACACATATGGTAGTCTGAAGGTCAAGTTTATCAAACCCAGGGCCCAAGTTGTGAACATAACAGACACCCAAAAATCTTAGGAAGTAAGGAAAATAAGTGTTTATCAAGAAAAATGACAAAATATAGACTTTGTCCATTTAACACAGAGGATGACATACGATTAATAAGATGATAAGCAGTGAGAACATCACTCTAAAAGTATCGGGGAACATTCATTTAGAATAACAGTGCAGGGGTGACTTTCAACAAATGACGGTTCTTTTGCTTAACAACACCATTCTATGGAGAGGTGTAAGCATAAGAAGTCTGATAAATAATGTCAATTTTACTAAGATAAACTGAAAAAGGATCAAATTTATATTTTCGAACATTATAAGAATGTAAAATATGTATACGACAACCATACTGAGTTTTTAATTCTTTACAAAATGTCTCAAATATAGAGAATAATTCAGAACAAGTTTTCATAAAAAACAACCAGGTCACATGAGAATAATTATCCACAAATGACACAAAATAAAGATATATTTATTAGATGAAATATTCTTTATTGGACCCTCATTCATTAGAATGTATCAATTTAAATGGACTAGATACACGATTATTGACTCTAGACTGAAAAGACACACGATGCTTACTAAGTTGACAAGTTTCACAAGACATAGACGACACATAACTAAGACTGGAAACTTGGCGCTTTAGATTCTGGAGAGAGAGTTGTTCAAGACGNGCACCATTCTATGGAGAGGTGTAAGCATAAGAAGTCTGATAAATAATGTCAATTTTACTAAGTTAAACTGAAAAAGGATCAAATTTATATTTTCGAACATTATAAGAATGTAAAATATGTATACGACAACCATACTGAGTTTTTAATTCTTTACAAAATGTCTCAAATATAGAGAATAATTCAGAACAAGTTTTCATAAAAAACAACCAGGTCACATGAGAATAATTATCCACAAATGACACAAAATAAAGATATATTTATTAGATGAAATATTCTTTATTGGACCCTCATTCATTAGAATGTATCAATTCAAATGGACTAGATACACGATTATTGACTCTAGACTGAAAAGACACACGATGCTTACTAAGTTGACAAGTTTCACAAGACATAGACGACACATAACTAAGACTGGAAACTTGGCGCTTTAGATTCTGGAGAGAGAGTTGTTCAAGACGACAATGCCATTAAAAAAGAGACAACGAAGTTTGTAGAGCCCCAGTAGGTGAATCAAGGTCAAGTAGTATAAGCCACTAGTTTCATGCTCTGTGTCAATTTTCCTCTTCGTCTTAAGATACTAAAATACACAATAAGAGGGATAAACGGTTACGGAACAATTGAGAGAACAGATAATCTTGCTAATGGAAAGTAAATTAAAAGGAAACTGAAGAACAAATAACACGGAGGATAGGGACATATAAAGACTCAAGTGAGTAGTCTCCAAATTTAAAACTTTAGAGTAAGTACTATTAACAATAGTAACNTAAATAGACTAGATACACGACTATTGACTCTAGACTGAAAAGACACACGATGCTTACTAAGTTGACAAGTTTCACAAGACATAGACGACATATAACTAAGACTGGAAACTTGGCGCTTTAGATTCTGGAGAGAGAGTTGTTCAAGACGACAATGCCATTAAAAAAGAGACAACGAAGTTTGTAGAGCCCCAGTAGGTGAATCAAGGTCAAGTAGTATAAGCCACTAGTTTCATGCTCTGTGTCAATTTTCCTCTTCGTCTTAAGATANAGTAGTATAAGCCACTTGTTTCATGCTCTGTGTCAATTTTCCTCTTCGTCTTAAGATACTAAAATACACAATAAGAGGGATAAACGGTTACGGAATAATTGAGAGAACAGATAATCTTGCTAATGGAAAGTAAATTAAAAGGAAACTGAAGAACAAATAACACGGAGGATAGGGACATATAAAGACTCAAGTGAGTAGTCTCCAAATTTAAAACTTTAGAGTAAGTACCATTAACAATAGTAACACTATGTGTGGAAGTAGCAGATTGATAAGTAGAAAAGACACCAGACACACCAGTTATGTGGTCAGAACCGTTCGAGTATATGATCTAGGGACTGTGAGTGGAGAATAATAAACAAGTGGAAGCGGTACTTGACTGGACAAAAGTAGCAGTGGAAGAAGATAGAACAATTTGTTGTTGGGACAGGAACTGAGCATACTTCTCTCGTGTAATAGTAACTGACCCAGAGTCTGGTGGAGCTGATCGAGGTATAGAAGCAACAACCGAGATGTCATCCTGATAGAAAACCTGATTAGTAGCACTAGAAGGTTTTCATGTAAATTTAACAAAAATCAACAGTGTGCCCTCCACGACCACAGTGAATACAGGAAAGAGGTCCATTATGGCCCACGATTGCCAGTACGACCTCCACGATTACTACTTCTACCTTGATGACCATCACTGTGGCTAGTAGGAACCACAAGAGCTGAGCGATCAGTAGAGACGCTATGATCAATGCCTGAAGAATCAGTAGACAAAGTAGCATGGTGTAAACGAGAGAAAATCTCAAGTTGAGAGGGAAGACTAGAGCCACCCAAAATCTGAGAGCGAATAAACTCATATTCAGGTTTCAATCCTACTAAAAATCAAACAACATTTAAATCCTCATGTTCCTTTTGTCAAACTACTACATCAGTAGTGAACGGATGAAAGAGCTTTAACTCCTCACAAACTAATAATCCTTAAGGCTTAGAGTAATCTGCTCTAGCCGGAAGTACTGTTTATACACCTCATAAGTACGGGTTAAATTACTTGGACTAGAATACATAGTGGTCAAGTGATCCCATATGTCTTTGACAGTGTCAAGATAGAACAGAGTAGAGCTAATACTAGGCTTAATGCTATTCAACAGTAAAGATATAATCTGAGCATCCTCTTGTTTCTACTGATCATACCCATAAGTATCTTCCTTGGGTTTAGGATTGACCAAATATTTCTTAAAACTGTTGTTTCGAAGAAAGACTTGAATGGAGTGGGACTATAAAGTATAATTAGTCTCATTGAGTTTAATGGAAGTCATAAGACCATTAAGGAGAACCGGAGAAGCATAAATGAGTGGTAAAGATGGAGCAAGAGAGATATCATCTTGCTTAGGTTTCATAATAATATAGCAAATAGTAAACAGGAGCAAGACCCTTACAGCTGGACAACTGAACTGAGTAATAGGGAGCGGCTAGACTACTGAGCAAACAAGAGGAGGCTACTGGATCGCTGCACGGGACTGGAGAAACAAGCTAGACCGTTGAACCGGACAGGTTGAGCTCACTAAACCACTGAACCAACGTAAAAACTGATAGAACCGGTCTGAACTGGTGCAAAACTAACTGAACCGAACTGGAGAAACGAGCTGGACCACTGAACCGACGCAACAACTGAATGAGCTGGTCTAAGCCGGTGCAAAACTACCTGAATCGAGACTGAGCCGGCTTACAGTGGATCAAACTGGGATTGAATCTGTCTTGAACTGGTCTGGTCTAGATCTTGGGTTGGACCAAGAGATGAAATGGGCTGGACTGGAAAATAATTTAAACCTGTGAACTTAGGTCCATTATCTATCCGCAACTGATCCGCAAGACAGATTTTAGATCTTGTCTTCTTAGCTGATTGGGGTTTCAACCAAATCGTTGGTCTTCGACGGCGCCCCACAATCACACCACCACAACGAGCTAGTAGCCACAACACCGTAACCACTGCAAAGACCACCGATGTCGACGACCAGCAGCCACAACACTGTAACCACGGCGGAGACCACTGATGTCAACGAGAACACAGAGGCCACCGATGTCCACAGATGGCACTGATGTTGACGACTCCTTACACCGGAAACTTCCACCACAGGGGGGATTTCCGACAACGTAACACCACCACTGCCACAATATGTCACCACCACCATCGTGTAACGCCCCCACTGCATAACGCCACCACCACGCTGGAACTTCGACAGCAGCCCCACCACAAAAACTTCAACAGCAGCACCACCTCAACAGTGACACCACGAGCCCAAAGTAATCTTCACAGCACAAACACACACTAAACTGGGTTAAAATTTTTAAGATTTGTATTTAGGATCGTAATGCTCTGATACCATGTTAAGTTAAGATAATTAATACAATATTAGAGAAAGATGGAGAGTGGTCAAAACTTAACCTACCTGTCACAAACCACTTGTATTTATAGTTAACTTGTAATAATACAAAAAACGTATATACCCTCTAATATTTACACATAATACCCTAATACTCTTAACATTGTTAAAATATTGACTTTTATTTGTCAATTGATTGTATTGAAGCCTGTTCTGAGGTATGTAATTATTTTTTGGGTCATCTGTCATAGGTTCGCGTTGCTGAGTACAACAATGTCCGCAGTCAACTCAATGCCATAAACAGAAAACAAACTGGAAGGTATGTGATGAGTGCCAAGTCTACTACAAATAAATGTTTTGGGATATAGCACTTTTCAAGATTTTGGACTTGGAATGATTTTATATGCGAGTTTGTTTATGTGCTCCATGATACAGCTTATTGAGTGGATTTGTGTGTACGTGGATGAAGGAGAAAATTGTTTTCCTATATTTATTTTGTTCTTGTGCGGCTTTCTTAGAACGTAAAGAAAATTGTCCTCCATATTTTTTGTGTTGTTCTTGTGTCGATTTCTTAGAAAAAAAAGAGTGCACGTACTCCTCTCTCAATTTGGATAAAATGCAAGTGGCTGCTTGACTTTATATCGAGATTTGACTAGAATTGCTATAAAGGGCTTACCAACTGTTGCAGATTGGGTATTCAACTATTAGCAAAGACAGTGCTTTGGTCGAGAAGGGAATGGGAAGGATGGGGCACTTCTTTCATCTTCCATTTCTTACTTTTTATTTTTCTGAGTGATGGTGGAGTGGAGGGTGGTAGTTCAAATGTTTTCAAAGACATTGTCATCCCATTTTGCTTGGTGCATCCAATTTTAGCACAATCTATTATCTCTCCGGACTTTTCTCAGCTGATTTATGTGTCTTATTCCAGCTTGGCTGTTCGTGACCTGTCCAATTTAGTGAAGCCAGAGGATGTCATTATATCAGAACATTTGGTGACCCTTCTTGCAGTTGTTCCTAAGTATTCACAGAAGGATTGGTTGTCAAGCTATGAAACGCTCACGACCTATGTGGTAAAAAAACTGTTTTTGTTGTTTACCTAATCTTACTGTGATGCATGATAGCTGATTGCTACATTTCATATGAAGTTGGCAATTTCTGATGATTTTGGACTTTTATATTTTTCCATATCCCAGAAAATGGGAGCTAAAAGTCGTCTTGGTCTTCTATCATGTTTTGGAATACATTTTATTTTCTACTTCCTGGTTGCAAAAGTTTCTGCTTAATTAAATTCTACTTTTTGATTGAACCGAGTATTTTAGGTCCCCAGATCCTCCAAGAAGTTACATGAGGACAATGAATATGCTCTTCATACTGTAACATTATTCCATCGCGATGCTGACAATTTCAGAAGTAAGGCACGCGATCGAGGTTTTCAAGTGAGTTTGTTTGTCAAATAGTTCTTTGATTTGTGGAGTACTATGAGATCTGATGTGTTCTGGTCTGTACGAATCTCTCGCTGCATTTCTCTACTAAGATAACTAGTAATGTGAAAAACCTGGTAATATTTTGATAGTGGTAGAAGGTCTCTTCTAATGTACTGCATGTTTCATCCCACGTGATTCAGATTCGTGATTATGAACATAATCCAGAAACGCAAGAAAGCCGGAAGCAGGAGGTGGAAAAACTAATGCAAGACCAGGATACATTTAGGAGCTCTCTTTTGCAGTGGTGCTATACCAGTTATGGGGAGGTACTCTCATTTTCTTAGAACCTTGTGATGTCATTTTGCATTGCATTTTGAACCATAGTTAAAGTACGCTACTGGCAATTGGACAATCAATAGGGAGTCTGCTTTCAGTGCCAGAGTTAATTGGGCCCACAGGTTCTTGGGTTTAAGACTTCAAGGATTTCATAGGTACTATGACTTCTATAATGTACCAAGATGAAGAGCAATTTTCATGATCAGTTCATAGTTGATTCACTTCTGGATTATAACATTCAATGCTAGTGGTGCTCCCAAGGGTATGCAGGTAAACTGCGATGTAATGCTGTATTTAGGAAAATAATTGCTGAGCATCAGACATTTCGTATCTTCAAGATGGCTTTTTTGACAAGTTTAATGGAAGCTGGACCTCTAGAATGCCCAATAATTTGGTGGAGCTTCTCATGTAATCCCCTTTTGGGCTATAACAGATTTAATGGAAGCTGGAACTTTTGAATGCCCAATTTTATTGGTGGAGACCTTACGTGGTCATCTGCCGTGCTAATAGATTTAATCAGGGTTCTTGGAGCTGTCGCAATTAATCAGAAACTGTTATTATCTTATTTTCTGGCGCTACTGTCTCTTGGGGACATAATAGCCACTTTTGAAGCCATCCCTGTGGCTAAAGGGTATTGAGATAGGGTGACTCATTTCTTTGTCGAAGGCGCGTATGTCTGAAAAGAAACATAACATTATTTGTAATTGAGAGTGGGCAGGGTGGGTCTCGACGTACCAGGGGGCTCAGAGGGATATGTTTTCGAGAATTTTGCGCCAGACTACCCTCCCTAGATGCCAGAGCTACCCATTTGGTTTTGAAGGAAATTTTATTTTCTATATAATTATTTTTGTGATGATGGGTATTTCCTCTGTAGTTCTTGTATATGTCCAGTTGTTTTATGATGAGTTTTTTTCTTGTTTGATGTTTAGGCCTCTGTTAATCGACATCTTGAACTTGTTCTGTTTAGATCAATATCAATGTTAGGTTGTGAATTATAAGTGCAATTCCTTATGTGTGTGTATCAATTTTTTGGATATTGATGCTCAGAGTTTGTTAGGTTGTGATCCCCTCTTGGTTTACCCCTATTGCACATCTCACCCTCTGTGATTGAAATATCACCACATAACTCTGTTCTAGTGTTGTACCAATTTCTAAACACTAACTTTCACTTTCAGAAGAAGAAGAAAAAGCAGCTCCATTTATACTGTAGACACCTACCTCTTTCTCTTTACACTTCTCTTGCTATTTTTTCTGTGTCTCTATTTTTTTATCCTCTGCGATTTTATTATTGATTGTGTACAACGTGATTTGTTAATCCTCACTATGGATTTGGGGAAATAACATTTTTGAATTTCATGTCGCATGGTTCCAGATGAGAAAAATAGTAGTCTTAACATGCTGAGATAGGGCACAAAGTGTAGGTGAGCTGATCATGAGTAGCAGACAGCATGTCATGTCGCACGCTTTCTATTTCAGTGTTTTGTTGCCCATCCATAGGTCAAGAACTCTCGGTGTTCTTAATTCTGGATTTTTTTAGTTCTGAATTTCTGGATTCTTTTAATTATGGATTTTCTACGGTTTCTTTGACCCCTTTCGCTATCCAATTTTCTCCTGCTAGTTTATTTTGCCTATTTGGAATTTTGTATTGGTAATTTATTTTCAAACCTATGAAGAATTTGGTTCGACTGCATCTTCCTGCAGGTCTTTAGCTCCTGGATGCACTTCTGTGCTGTACGTGTCTTCGTGGAAAGCATTCTGAGATATGGCTTGCCACCATCGTTTTTGGTAAATAAATTCTACCTCTCTTCTAGAATCTGCTTCAAACTTCTTTCTTATTCCATTCCTTTTTTCTTTCCTGTATAACCACAATTTTGGGCTTAGAGATCATTTTTGAATTGATTTCAGTCTGTTGTATTGGCACCTTCTGTGAAAAGTGAGAAGAAGGTGCGTGCTATCTTGGAGGGACTGGCCGACAGTTCAAACAGGTACTTAACAAGATTTCTATTTTGGGTTCTCATTATTTTTTGAACTTCAAGCTGCAGGAACAATTATGAACAAGTTGTTGAGTCAGTTACAAGCATCTATGGCCTTATATGGAGATTAGAGCATGTTATGATCCAAGTCTGATTCAGAACACATTGATTTGGTGATCTCTTGATCAGATTTGAATTTAGAGAAAGAAGAAAAGTTCCTGTAGGTTTCTTTCTGGGGGGCAAAAGTTGTACACTGCCCTTCTCAGTCTCCCATCTTCTTTACCATATCATTTTTAAGGGCATATAAATTTAGCCGCACTTGCATCCCATCATCGTTACTCTGTCCTAGTCAGCGTGTATGGATATACGTATTCCAACTCCTTTAGTAAAGTAGTTGGCATCATAAACCACTGGCCATTTTTTAGAGGATTTTGGTGAAGGAAAAGCCAGATTTTAAAGTCTGCTTGTGTTTCAACATCCCATTGCTTAACAATTAGGTGGTCCTGAAATGCTCTAGGCCATTAAAGTCCCTTCTTGAGGCTGGAAATTCTGGCTAAGCCTGCTGTGAGCAATAATATCTCCTCTCCTGTAGACATGAGTCGCTTGGGGGACAGGCTACATTTTTTTATGGTTCCAGGACTATACGAACTCTAATTTCTGTCGAACTTTTTTGTCTGCCGGGTTCTTCTGTTGGTACTCACTATTTAATACATGCAAATGCAGCAATTTCTGGAAAAGTGACGAAGAAGGAGGGATGGCCGGTTTTGGAGGCGAAGTGGATGCCAATCCTTACGTCGCCACCACCATAAATCTCATTTGAGTCAAGGCAGTGTGTATCAGTGTCCAGTTTAAATTCCAGGTTGGATTGCTATCTGCCAGACATAATAAGGACACTCTGATTTTTTATTTATTTTTTGTATAATAGAGTAAATTACGCCACTCGTAGTGTATGCCGCTATGAAACTTTGCTTTCATTTTTTCTTTTATTTTCTTGAGGTCTTAATTTATCTGGAGAAGGGTTTGTAATATTATTGGCAGACTTTGTTGAGACAAGCTTTATGGTTCAATAACTGTNTTTAATTTATCTGTAGAAGGGTTTGTAATATTATTGGCAGACTTTGTTGAGACAAGCTTTATAGTTCAATAACTGTAAACCTTTGGAATTTTTGCTAAAATGGCAGGTGTAGATAGGGTTGATAATCGAGTCCAACTACTTCTCTCAACAAAGTTTGTCTTATTCGACTCGTATAGAACTCAATACATGTTCNTGATTTTGGTGAAGGAAAAGCCAGATTTTAAAGTCTGCTTGTGTTTCAATATCCCATTGCTTAACAATTAGGTGGTCCTGAAATGCTCTAGGCCATTAAAGTCCCTTCTTGAGGCTGGAAATTCTGGCTAAGCCTGCTGTGAGCAATAATATCTCCTCTCCTGTAGACATGAGTCGCTTGGGGGACAGGCTACATTTTTTTATGGTTCCAGGACTATACGAACTCTAATTTCTGTCGAACTTTTTTGTCTGCCGGGTTCTTCTGTTGGTACTCACTATTTAATACATGCAAATGCAGCAATTTCTGGAAAAGTGACGAAGAAGGAGGGATGGCCGGTTTTGGAGGCGAAGTGGATGCCAATCCTTACGTCGCCACCACCATAAATCTCATTTGAGTCAAGGCAGTGTGTATCAGTGTCCAGTTTAAATTCCAGGTTGGATTGCTATCTGCCAGACATAATAAGGACACTCTGATTTTTTATTTATTTTTTGTATAATAGAGTAAATTACGCCACTCGTAGTGTATGCCGCTATGAAACTTTGCTTTCATTTTTTCTTTTATTTTCTTGAGGTCTTAATTTATCTGGAGAAGGGTTTGTAATATTATTGGCAGACGTTGTTGAGACAAGCTTTATGGTTCAATAACTGTAAACCTTTGGAATTTTTGCTAAAATGGCAGGTGTAGATAGGGTTGATAATCGAGTCCAGCTACTTCTCTCAACAAAGTTTGTCTTATTCGACTCGTATAGAACTCAATACATGTTCTAAATGAGCCAAGTTTGAAAGAGTTTTTAGGTTCATTTAGAAAAATGAGCATAAAAAGCTCGACTTGTTTATATGCAATAGGCTTGACTCGAGTTAGGTTTATTTTGGGCTCAGTTTAGGTTCGACTCTTTTTATACAAGTCGAGTTTGAATAATTTTTTAGACTCGTTTAAAAAAAAGAATTTGACAAACTCGATTTGATTATCTGTGCATTCTCTAGATTTGNATGGACAATTCTATTTGATTAATTGATGTATTTATTGCCAAGAATTTGTACCGTCAATAAAGATACACATCAGTTCATATTAGATGAATGATAAAAATAGATTTTATGAATGGTATAATAGTTGTATTAATGATAGTATATTATTCTACATAAACTGAGGATGATNGTTTTGTGTGGAGCCAAGATTCAGCTAAGATATTGTATTTGGTTATGAAAAAAAAATTAAAGCGTTACAATTTGGAGATGGTACAAGGTTTTTTTTAATTGATCTTAACATGTNCTTCAAAAGAAACATCATATACGTTTCATGAATATCTTAGAAAAAGAATTACCCACAAAAATCTATAATGAACATGCCAATTTTTTTTTTTTATTTACTACATTCAAATGGTAAAATGTATGTGGTCAAAAATTAGTATTTGTTACCTTATGACCTAGAGCAATTCAACAAAAACGTAGTAGAATTATGATCTACATGATGAAAGAGCTCGTTTTAACTATTCAATGCACAAGAAGAATCACATAATTTTTTCTACATACAAAATATAATGATAAATACGCAAAATGAGTTTCAGTGCTAAACAAAAAATGAACCTATTGCCATGAACATTAAACAAATAAAAGGTATATAATATAGAGTAAATAAATTTCAGGACGACATTTACACAGTGATTTTACACAATTGAACATGCTGGTTCATAAGTAAAAAACATTTAATTTGGTTAAGCACATATAACGTCAATGCAAGCCCAACTCCAAAAAAATATATAAATTACATAAAAAGAGCTGCAACCTACAACCAAATAAGAGACTTGAGTATAAGAGAATGGGTGAGGAATGAAATGATATTATTATTAATATATGATTGAAATTTATGGAATTAAATATTTGGCCATTAGCTGTCCACTTAGCCATAAAATGGACAATGAAATGATATATTTGATTAGTTGATAAAATGGACAATTCTATTTGATTAATTGATGTATTTATTGCCAAGAATTTGTACCGTCAATAAAGATACACATCAGTTCATATTAGATGAATGATAAAAATAGATTTTATGAATGGTATAATAGTTGTATTAATGATAGTATATTATTCTACATAAACTGAGGATGATTAATAAATTTATTGTAACTTAAAAAATTTGTGAGAAGTAAATGAAAGAGATATAGTCATTAACTCGGAAAATTAAAAAAAAATTATAATACGTAGAATAATAATTCTTGTAAAAATGAAAGTGTATGAAGAGTTTAAATATATAATTGAAATTAAGTAATTAAATAAATAAAATTATAGGTGTCTTTTAAGTTGAATGTAAAATGCCAAACACATCTCAATGTCGACCAAATGATTACTTAAATGAGGTATAAAAAAATAATGTGCATTAAAAAGGAGCAAGCAAGGAATGAAATAATAGGATACTCTAAATTTCATAAAATAATTATGACTAAATTAATGTCAAGTTCATTGAACCATCACATACAACGGCTGTTCCCACTGGTCTGAGTCCGTTGTTGGCTTTATTATAGCTAGAAGGGTTTTTTTTAGTAGGGGACAGGGCTTGATGTGGGGTTTGTTCCCCAGGCCATCCAGACTGTCCCTTTATATGGACCTACGTAGAGCCTATAAAGTCTCTAACAGGCCCAACACTAACTANATATTTATTTCCAAGAATTTGTACCGTCAATAAAGATACACATCAGTTCATATTAGATGAATGATAAAAATAGATTTTATGATAGTTATCAATGGTATAATAGTTGTATTAATGATAGTATATTATTCTACATAAACTGAGGATGATTAATAAATTTATTGTAACTTAAAAAATTTGTGAGAAGTAAATGAAAGAGATATAGTCATTAACTCGGAAAATTAAAAAAAAATTATAATACGTAGAATAATAATTCTTGTAAAAATGAAAGTGTATGAAGAGTTTAAATATATAATTGAAATTAAGTAATTAAATAAATAAAATTATAGGTGTCTTTTAAGTTGAATGTAAAATGCCAAACACATCTCAATGTCGACCAAATGATTACTTAAATGAGGTATAAAAAAATAATGTGCATTAAAAAGGAGCAAGCAAGGAATGAAATAATAGGATACTCTAAATTTCATAAAATAATTATGACTAAATTAATGTCAAGTTCATTGAACCATCACATACAACGGCTGTTCCCACTGGTCTGAGTCCGTTGTTGGCTTTATTATAGCTAGAAGGGTTTTTTTTAGTAGGGGACAGGGCTTGATGTGGGGTTTGTTCCCCAGGCCATCCAGACTGTCCCTTTATATGGACCTACGTAGAGCCTATAAAGTCTCTAACAGGCCCAACACTAACTAACCCCTCCTCCCAAAAAAATAAAAAATAAAAAAAAAATAAATTGTTCTTTGAAGAAAGATACATTTTGACACATTGTTGAGTATAACTTCCACCTCCCATTATTCCCTTAATTATTGTGTTATGTTCCTTATATAAAAAAAATTAGAATAATCTGTATATGAAGGCACAGTCTAATATGAATGATTTTGAAAGAGATGTTAATGGTTGTTGAATAAGTCTATTTGAGACTGTCGTATGGATTTATTGAAGACTTATCTATTTTATATTATAAATTTTAGATTTTGTCTCATTATCCTCTTGCAATATATGATTTTTTTTTCACTTTGTCCTAAAATTTAATGACTTTTAAATATTTTTGCATAAAACGTAACCACTTTTGAATAAAGTGAAACTTGATGATGTATAAAAGTAAATTTATGNTAGGATACTCTAAATTTCATAAAATAATTATAACTAAATTAATGTCAAGTTCATTGAACCATCACATACAATAGCTGTTCCCACTGGTCTGAGTCCGTTGTTGGCTGGTATTATAGCTAGAAGGGTTTTTTTTAGTAGGGGACAGGGCTTGATGTGGGGTTTGTTCCCCAGGCCATCCAGACTGTCCCTTTATATGGACCTACGTAGAGCCTATAAAGTCTCTAACAGGCCCAACACTAACTAACCCCTCCTCCCAAAAAAATAAAAAATAAAAAAAAAATAAATTGTTCTTTGAAGAAAGATACATTTTGACACATTGTTGAGTATAACTTCCACCTCCCATTATTCCCTTAATTATTGTGTTATGTTCCTTATATAAAAAAAATTAGAATAATCTGTATATGAAGGCACAGTCTAATATGAATGATTTTGAAAGAGATGTTAATGGTTGTTGAATAAGTCTATTTGAGACTGTCGTATGGATTTATTGAAGACTTACCTATTTTATATTATAAATTTTAGATTTTGTCTCATTATCCTCTTGCAATATATGATTTTTTTTTCACTTTGTCCTAAAATTTAATGACTTTTAAATATTTTTGCATAAAACGTAACCACTTTTGAATAAAGTGAAACTTGATGATGTATAAAAGTAAATTTATGAACAATCAACAGTCGAGTGTATGATGCAGGAGTAATTAATGAAGCAATCAATAAAACAATTAATAACAAAAGACAAAGACTAGGTCAACACAGACAACACACAGACGTATAATGATTCGGTCAGGATGACTTACTCTATTCCAAAGGCGGCAACGGTGGCCGAAAAATTTTATTAATAAAATAAGATGTAAGAGAAAAAAAAAAGGTAAGCTCTGAGAGAGGTTGGGTAGCTATGACAGAAATAATTAAGTAGAGGGTGTGTAAAGAGATGCCCCTCTCATGTAAAGAAGGCTTAAAATTTATAGGCAAATAGGCTTGATTGAGGCGATGACATGAAGAGATAAGTGACTGATTCTCCATTAGGAGAGGATAGTTACAACTAAGGATATATACAATTAAAGATAGTTTTGATCTCTGAGAATAGTTATCCTGATAATTACTCCCCATGTGCACTAATTCTCCTTAACTCCTTAAATTTGAATTGGGTCGACTCCATGAGTTGGATTTGACTTGCTTAGTAGCTAATTTGGGCTTATCTCATTAATTGAGCCCGATTCAGTAAGATCTTGGCTCGTCAAAACTAATTTAAGTAATTAGAGAGAAGATGTGACCAACAAAACAATATAAAGGAAGTCTTCATTATAGTGTGATTTACTCTTCTTTACTCATTGTTACTGATGTAGAGTACCATGAATAAAGAAACGAGATCAAATAACATAAATTATAACATGTTGATTATTGTAATAATACCAAATTACAGTCTTCAAGAGCCTGTTGATTCCTAAGAATACCTCAATTAGGAATTGAAAGAGAACTCGTCTTTAAGTTTTATTTAAAATAAACCAAAAACTACTAAATTAGTTTTCAATACAATATAAATAAGAACTCTAATAGTCTTAAATTACTAGAAAAACCAAGCAAATATACAATATTATGAAAATATCCCAAATAGTGGAATAAAAAAAAAAAAGTGCCCTAAACATCATTTTTTTGGCTAAAAACCGACTGGGTTGAAGGCAAAAAGCTTCATTTTTGCTCAGATCGCTGAGAGCTTTCCAGAATGGGGTCTTATGAAATTGTGTGACATTGTTGCCAAAAATCAGCTCTGATTGGTGTTTAATCAGCTCTGCTTTTGACGATCTTGATCTGTCATGTAGTCAGTCTTCTGTTATATGTACTGCATCAATTACTCATAAAATGGTTTGTATATGTAATGTGAAAATTCCAGTGATCCTCGATCTATTCAAGTTCTTCACATTTTTACTTAGTAAATGATGCAAGCTTGGTTCTTTGAATTGATAGAAGCTAATCTTACTGAGTTCTTAAATTCTAGAAGAAATTAACTACTCTAAAGTTCAAGTTTTTTTGGTCAAATATAATAGAAAATTTTAAGATATACGCATGATTAATAGATAGTAGATAATTGTATAAATATGAGATTTGAATTACAGACATGAATCCAAACTATATGTGATTGAAAACGATTTTCGCCTAAAAAACAAGAGAACATATAAGCAAGATCGATCAAGGTCCTTGTCCAACTTTGGACAACCCATGCCTTAGCACCAACGCATGAGGACACCACCAAATTACATATATATACATATACATATGTATGGACAAAGGAGACAAGGGAATTGAATGGGCAATGGCGAAGCCATGAGACTTGCTTCCTCCTACGGGGAGAGGACCAGGCCCCATTGGCCGGAAGACTAGGCTGCAGCCTCCGAGCAGTCCTTCAACCGGTCCCGCCCAACCCCTTCCATATTCATGGGTTGATAATGTGTTTGATAATTGCCCATCCTTATCGTCCACCTAAAACTACCATTAAAGAAAAGCCATGAAATAAGACTATAAGAGACTCAAGTGAACGAACTTGCTAGTCAGTGAACACCTCCATTCTTTCCTCGTGTAAGCTTGAGTGAAAACAGCCGGAAACACATGAACCCCCAAGGGTTCTCTTTCGTCTTTCTGATATTTCCGGCGAGGAGTGGTGCCCACATCCACGGACCTAACATCCTATGGGTTACATTTATTTTCTCTGTTTATCCAAACAAATCTAGATATCGATGGATCTTTTTAAATTTTATTGTATCTCTACTTGGATATTGATGAATTCTTTCTTAATATATCATATTTCTAATAGTTTTATGGGTTATCATTAATATATATATATAAATTTTAAATGTATTTTATATTTTTATTAAATTTATTTTGAATTTAAGTTGATCAAGTTATTGCGTCATACCCAAAACTTTGCTCTAAATTGAACCAACATTACAAACTGAATTTAACCCAAATTACGAGTCTAATTTGAGCCTAAATTATTTAACTTGAACTAACCCAAATTGAGTTCAAAATTAACTTGAACAATATTCGGATTGAATACTTCTAGTTAAAAGTCAGAGTTAAGTTGGATTAAGGGTTGAAAGTTCTGTAATTTAAGTGAGGCTTGGATAGATCCTCTAACCCACCCAACCTACCAGAGTTACACCCCAGTATCATTTAGTCGTTGTTTTTAATTAATCCAACATTACTCTTGATTTTTCATCTCACTTTTGTTTTTACCGTATTATTTTGCTACTTTTTGGTCTTCTCTCTTTACTCTTTTTGTATGTCTTTTGCTCTATTCATAATATAGATAGATTATTCTTCAATATAAAAGTGATATACTACTTTACTTTTGAAAAAGGGAACTTTATATAAAAAAATAAGATATTTTTTGTACGATATTATGTCTATAAATATTTATAAGAAAAAAAAGGATAAAATAGGAGCTTTTCATAACAACAGGTAGCCCTTATCAATGCTATTGAGACCTAATTCACTATAAATTTTAGATTAATTGTGGATTCCATTAAACAAAAAATTTAATATTGAACTGATAGTTGTTATGACATTCGATATTCTTTATATCCTAGCCTATTTAAACTCCATGGATTACTTTTAAGTTTTTTGACTAGGCTGAGAAATTTTTTTGTATGACCTTCGAGCCTGTATCATGCCTTGATGATTGATTGAATTTTTTTTTTCTTGATTTTAATTTATAAAAAAATTAACACCCATGACGTGAGATGAGATGGTGACAGAGCAGATCATAGAAATATCGTAAGGTACGTTTTATGAAAATGAGTTGGCATGGCATGATCATGATCATGGAGCTGTCGACGCAGACCAAGTGATTCTGGGAGATAATGACATCCATGGCTTTCTTGATGGGTTTTGCATTGAATCATCTTAATCATCAAAGTGAAAGAGGAAGCCTCCGGGGCCAGCTTGCTTTGGAAATCCTTGTAAAGTTTGGGCCCCACAGAGACCTTAATTACAAACTTTTTAAGAGTTGGACCCATCTTCCTTGTTTGTTAGGGGGAATCTCATTTTATATACCGAAAAGTTTAAGTTTTTTTTACTTTATATCCTTAAAGATAAGATTTTTTATATTGTATCTTCAATATATTAAAAATATTGTAATGTGATTTTTTTCGTTACCTTTCATTGCTTATTCCGTCAAAATTCACCCCATTGACATTGATAAAATGAGTAACAAAAACTAACAAAATGATTACATTGCAATATTTTTAATACATCGAATGTGTAATGCTCTGATAATAATAAAAAAAAAAGTATAATGTGAGGAATCTAATTTTATCGGTGACAAAACTGGTTGCCAATTTTTTTTTTTTTCAGTAGCAATATTTTTAACTAATAAAAAAAAATTGAATTTAATTTTTATTCAGCGACGTGTAATATTTCATCACAAAATCTTTAAATGAAAATTTTGAATTATTGTATCTTTTTTTTTTAAAAAAAAAGAAAAAGAAAAATCGATAGATACTGTAGTGTGTTACATGGTTTAAGTTGGTCACTGTTTTGGACGTTACTTGTACTTGTGAATTGAATGATGTTTGGATGCCGACTTAATTGTCATGGGACAAGATTAAAGAGAAGTCCAGCTAACCATTGGCTTGCTTGAGAGAGAGGTTTAGTTTGGGTTTATCTTAGTTAGGTGTTAACCCACGCGGAGTGCTGGTTGACCATGGTTACACCCAATAAATTATGGTTCGAAGGCCGGAAAAGTCCTCGTAGCAATAAAAAATAACACTTGTAATTCAAGATAAAGGAGAACAATCTCTATTAATTTTGATTAATAAAATGAATTACGATTTCTCTAAGAACCTCTGTATTCTACTGATGACTTTGTCATAAAACTTTTCAAGAACCATGAAAAATCATCTCTCTTTCTCTTTGAGACGAACAAAACATTTTCTATAAAATAGAAAAGATCCAAAATTAGAAGTGAGACAAATCTCTCTCTGAGATGAATGCTCGGGTAACACCTACTCCGGAGAGTTTAATGCTCGGGGAATAGTATCCCGGGGATATGCCAAGGGGATATGTTCAACACCATAGCCATTAATATTTTACAATCATGACTGTTAGTTTGGGTCTCGAGCATGCAGAGACTCATTAATAGTCTAGTCACAGTCACTCACGTCTTCATTAATGAGCTGTCATGCCTTCTTAAATGTTGGTTTCAATACGTGTACTCGGCTCTTCCGAGATATTACTTCTTGGCGCCACCTCTTGGCGCCTTTTGAGTNGATAATGACCAAGGAAACATAGAGTTTAATAATGTGTGAGCCAAAAGGCATACCGAAACATGAAGCAACCAAACACACTTAATAGGCCAATCTAAAGCAATAAATCATTATTTGGGGACCCTCATGAACAAATTGATCAATTGCCAAACTACAACTAGCAAACATACATGTTATCGCATGGACCAAGAATAGCCACGAGGTTTCTATCATTAACAAAATCTGAAGAGATTCAAATGTACACGACCTTATCTTACTTGTCGAGAAACTGTTTTCTGTGACTTGAATCTCAAACAAAAATCATCTTTCTCTGAGATGAACACAAAGTTTTCTATAAAATGGGAAAAATCCAAAATTAGAAGTGAGACAAATCCAAAATAACAGGAGCAAAGAATAGAAAGAGACAATGACCAAGGAAACATAAGAGTTTAATGTGTGAGCCAAAAGGCATACCAAAACATGAAACAACCAAACACACTTAATAGGCCAATCCACAGCAATAAATCAGTATTTGGGGACCCTCATTAACAAATTGATCAATTGCCAAACTACAACTAACAAAAAATGGACGAAGATTGATGATTTTATCCACCAAATAAACAAAAACATTAATAACTAAATAAGATTGATGATTTTTTTGTCAATATGTAATTAAGACTCTATTATCCCACCCTTATTCAGTATATTACCAAACATTAGATTACAATAAATATTAATTTTATTTCATATTTAATCTTGTGTTTTATCATCTTATATAGAATTAGCACGTATCAAATAAACAACAATGCTACATCCACCAATTTTTGAATCCCAAATCAATATAAACCAGAAGTTCAGTAAGTCCCAAAAACTCTCACCAACAATTGAATGGCTATCATTGTACCACATTGCTTGGGATTCAAAAATTTGATAAATTTTTTGATGAACACATAATTTCCCGTAAACAATACAATATTTTCTTTTACTATAAATTACAACCAAACGAGCCATGGTATTGCCTTCACTACTTTCCAAAACTTTATCAAGTCGGCAGCACCATTTTTTCCTAAAAACAGTGTGAGATAATTGTATGTATCTCCCATTGTGGAGAGAAGGGACAGACATGTTAAAGATGTGTCTTCTTTTAGCATTCAAGAGTGTTTTTTAAATTTTCAACTGAACTGATTTGGTAGGCCACTTCTCTCTCTCTCTCTCTCTCTCATTTGTCATGTCCGTTTCTTTTTGGCAAACTCTATTGGTCATGTCTCAAGCTCTCGAATCATTCATTATTGAAGAAAAAAGGAAAATCAGATAGGATAATCATTATTACATGAATATCTATCTCTTTCTTTTTCTAGACTTTTCTAACAAATGGGCATTCAAAGTTTTTGGGGGAAGATAATAAAAGAAGATTAAATCTCATTTTACTCCTTGAAAGATATATAAAATTTTAGTTTGTATTCTAAATGATTAATTTTTCTGTATTGTCTCTCAAAAAAATAAAAATAATATCATATAGTCAATCGTTTTATTTTCATCTAATCGTCCGTTTGTTAGTGTCAAATTAAGTAATTAGGAATCACAAAACAAACGGACAACTAAACAAAAATAAACGGTAGATCACATTACAACTTTTTTTATTCTTTGAGGGGCAATATGAAAAAAAATTAATTATTCAAGAGACAAATTGAGAATTTTTGTATTTTTTAATAGGTAAAATGAGATTTTCCCATAAAAGAATGACAAGACATTGACAATCGTCGCAGTTCTATTATGAAAAATAATCTCTTTAAAATGGTGATTGACGAGACCAGATCTAATTGGGTCAAACCCTGTAAATTAAGCAAGTCCAGATCCACTAGAAAGGCAAGCAGAGCCCAGTTCATCAATCTGACCCAATCCAAGATTCAAGAAGCCTAGGAAGATAGGACCACGTGGGAGAGAGATCATCGGGATACCTACTCTCGAAGATCTAGACAATTTTAATTATACTTACCTATAGTAGATGTTCTCCCCGAAGTACTAGTGTCTTTACCCGCACATCGATTAATAGTTAAAATTAGCATATTACTATGCTCTTTTAAGACTAATTATACTTTGATGAAGTTTAAATGATGACATTTCAGGCCATAAATTGTACAAGGGACTAAAGGCAATGAGTATCAAATTTTCATGCAACACCAGCATATTCTGGAGAAAAATTAAAAAAGTTTGGACCAAGCCATGAACGTTCGAATACCAACTGATGTTCGAACGTCCACTTGAATTGATTAAAGACTAGGCNAGAAAAATTGAAAAAGTTTGGACCAAGCCATGAACGTTC